ATCTCTGGATGTGTCCCAGAATGAGCTCACTGGGATTATACCGCCAGAACTCGGAGGGTTGCGCTCGATGTGTCGCATGAGTCTCAGGAACAACCATTTTGAAGGTCCGATTCCGCACGAGTTAGGCTTGCTCAGCAACATGGGGTACCTATATCTCAGTGGAAATCGCCTGACGGGTATGAAACGTCCGTTCTCCGTCTTGGTAACTGATGGTAGAATTCCAGGAAGCATCCCTCCGGAACTCGGTGACATCCAAATGCTTCGAAACTTGGACCTTTCGCGCAATTATCTGACGGGCCCGATTCCGAAGCAGTTGTGCAATGCAACACGACTCTGGCTCCTGTATTTGCAAGATAATCTGCTGTCGGGGAAAATTCCGGAAGGTTTGGGTGGTGGAGGTCGCTTGTCGCAGGGGTGTGTTCGATTGAATCGAAACAGGCTGGATCGTCCTGTGCCGAAATCTCTCAGGCGGAACCTGTTGTATTATGATCGCTTGATGCTTGATTCAAAAAAGTGGCGGTTGGGTGCGAAGGAGCAAAATCAATATATTTGAACATTTTGAACGCGACACCAGCAACTGCAAAGACGCAAACAACAATCAATGAACAGCAATAAACCCCCTACTAAGGCCCAACACCAACATATAACAAAGCAAATCAATCTTCGGTCAAGTCAATCACTTCCACCACCTTCTTCTTTCGAGATGTCGAGCTCACGAATTCCACAGCGTCTTCATCGCCGTCCTTCGCAGCACCCCCAGAGGAAGAACATCCCCCAACCGCGCGCTGAGATCCAGAAGTCGCTCCGCTGCTCGCGATTTCGGGTTTCACTTTTTTGGAAACACGTGCGTCGTCGTCGGTTTTCGCGTGGAGGGCGTGCTTTGTGGGATGAATGAGGCCGTGGGGAATCATTCCATCGAGTTCGAGGAAGTCCTGAGTCTTGTAGTGGAACGTGTGCACGAGGATGGGCTCGACGGAAAGAAGAATTCGTTTCAACGAGAGAGTGTTTTTCGCAATGGGGGTGCCGAATCTGTTTTCCAAACATAGTTCAGCACGGATGAAAACGAGGCAGCATAAGAGAATGGGGGAGGGGCCTTGTTGTCGAAGAAAGCAAAACGCCTTTCTTTGGCTTTTCGTTCTGAGATATAGGCCCGCATTAGCAGGAATTAAAGGAAGAAATTTTAAAATATTTACTTACAATATTAGCCGTGTTGAGGTCATATTCGCTCGTCTGCGCGCCTGAACCCGTGAATTTTGCCAAACAGATGCGAATTTCGATTGTGCCCAGAGAGTCGACCTCCTTCTTGTCCATCAAGCCACCAGACTCAACCAGGCGAGGAGCAGCAAACTCAAATGGGCAGATGACGGTATTTCGTTGAGAAGCCGCGCCACTCACGTGGACTTCGCCCTTCTCCCACCACATCCGCCTCACACACACTTTTCCGTCGATTGCGATTTCAACTCTTGGGTATAACATTCCTACAGCACGACTTTTGCCGTCATCGGGGTGCGTCTTGTTTGGGTTGCGTACTTGGAAGACGAAGCTGTATTTTTTGCCGAGTTTCGACAGAACGTAGGACTTGTCGATGGATCCGTCGTCGAATGGATACTCGGGCGAGTTCTGCGCTTCTCCATCAATACGGATTCCCATCGAGATCGAGGCGCCTTTGAACTGCGGGTGATCGGTCGGGATGTTTGTGAAACCACGATCAAAACAAAACATGTATATAAATCGTTCCCCCCCCATGCTCCAAGACTGACGACAGTCTTGTTTTCGAAATCCAGCTCGCGAATTGCGAGCTTGTTCTGTGCACTGCCATCGTGGATGCGTTCCAGGCGTTTGCGTATCACCTCAACTTTCGCGAGGAAGCCTTCCGATGCGGTCAACTGACATGCGAACTGAATTTGGAAAAAAATACGCCGAAACAAACAGCGCATGAAGAACGTGATCCTTGTCCTTGGCTCTGACACTGTTCCCCCGCACTCGTTTGCATCGATTCTCACTGGAGCGACAGTGGCGGCCTCGACTTCCGTTGTCCCTTTGACGATTGAGACCAAGTACTACAGTGCGCAACTGCGCGTGTGGCTGTCGCTTTCGAGGAGCGACGACGCCGTTCAAGTCGACGAGTTTGCTTTGGCGTGCGGCGACGCAGTCGACGGCGTCGTGTTGCTCTTCGATTCGCGGCGAAAAGAGTCGCTTTGTGAACTGCAAAACTGGTGGCTGTTCATAGAACAAATCCAGCCAGGCGTCGCCCTGTGCGTCGACGTGGGCGCCTTGGATCATCGCGGCGACGTGAGCGCCTTGGACCAAACCAGCGATCCACGCGAATCCCTCAAAGATGCAAAACGCCTCTGCCTCGAATACCACGCGGAGCTTGTTTGCATCGATCCCGACGATGAGAACGAAGACCCGCTGCAGCGCATCCGCGACGCCCTGTACGCCAACACCTGGGACGGCTTGGTCTTGAACACGGCTGCTGGTGCATCCGTCGACCCCGAACCGCAAGCCGCACCTACAACCATCGATTGGAGCGCCGCTGCTGCCGAGTTTGGTGATTCCGAGGACGATTATTTGGACCTCAAGGCGGTCCTGGCGCGCGAAAACGATTCTCTGGCAGACATGCTGGCCGAAATGGACGTTGGGGAGATGGACGATGCGGAATTTGGCGATTTCATGGCCGGTGGGAAGGGAGTCTCGGATGTGCCCAAAGGGTCGGAGCTGGATTTTGATCTGCCTGAGTTTGATGAGCTTGGTGAGCCGAGTTTCATGTTGGATGTTTGTGGTTTCTTGGAAAGTCGCTCAACATTTCGAAATCTCACAGATCCCACCAACTTGAACGCGTCCGAAGAAATGAAAAACCTGCGATCCACTCTGTTTGGCGAAATGGACGACGACGACTTTTTCGAAAAGGCAATCAGCCAAATCAAGAATCTGCGCGATTCTGCAAACGGATTGGAGGATGCCAAGAGGCGGGATATGGCCAAGAAGCTCGCTTTGGCTCTTTTGATGGATGAGGAGGAGCCGGAATAAACTTCTTTGAGGAACCCCCTTTATTTCTTTCGTTGCCAAAACACGCGCTTTTTCGAATCCATTGCGATGCGATCCGAAAACTTGACCACGCGTCGCAGCGGTTTGGGAACAGGCCTGTCCAATCGATTCCCCGAAACTCGAAACACCAAGAGTCTCATGCGACCCGTTCCCAACTCTTCAGGAATGCGCCCGGATAACTCATTATTCGTCAGGTTCACGTACTGCAAGTTTTCTGCATTCGCGAGCTCCCTCAGAATCTCACCCGACAACTCGTTGTTGGACAAGTCCAACCGCCGAAGATGCAGCAACCTTCCCATCTCTGACGGAATCGACCCCGTCAAATGATTCCCCGCCAACTTGATAATCTCCAACACCCCCGCCTCCCCAATCTCTGCGGGAATCTCACCCAAGAACTCATTCCGCGACAAATCCAACGTCGTCAACCTCTTCAACGCTCCGACTTCTCGCGCAATATTCCCACCCAACGCGTTCTCGGACGCCAACAACGTCACTAAACTCGCCCATCCTTTCATCACACACCCTGGAATCTCGACCAACGCGTTCCGAGACACGTTCAACTCCCGCAACATCTTCAACGCTTCCATCTCTCTCGGCAATGCACCCTCGAACCTATTCTCACTCAAATCCAAACTCCGCAATTCCTTCAACTCCCCCACTTCCGCAGGAACACACCCCCCCAACTCATTCTTACACAAATTCAGAAACATCAACCGTTTCAACTCCCCAATCTCCCTTGGCACCTCACCTATCAACCGATTACAACTCAAATTGAGCGTCACAAGGTTCACCAACCTCCCTACTTCCCTTGGAACGGTCCCACGCAAATCCATCACACATAGCTCAAGTCGCGTGAGGTGTGCGAGTGTGCCGATTGCGACTGGGATTCTGGGTGTATGGTGTGGGAGCTTCGCGTATGCCCAATCGATTTCACGCACGTGTGTGAGCACGAGGCAAGTATACGCGTGTTGATACTCCACGGGGAGGATGAACCACAAACGGTCGAGTTCATCGGGGTAATAACTCTGTGGTTGCATCTCGCGTCTACGGATGTGAGAGAAATGGAGCAGGTTTTGGAACGCGAATGAGTAGGTTGAGAGGTGGGTGTCAAAGGTGTGGCATACGCGACGGTATTGGAGTACGTGGCGTGGGTGGAGGTGGGTGAAGATGAGGAGGAAGAGGTCGTGGTGGAGGGAGAGGAATGTGGCTCCGTTGGAAGGGATGGAAGTAGTTGGGGCGGAGGCGGCGGGGAGGATGGGAATGTCGAGGGTGAACCTGTCAAAAACTTTTATTTTAGCCAGCGTGTTTTCAGTATTGAAATGGAGGGAGGGCAGGCGTGCTTGACAAAAGATGCATACAACTCCTGTTTGGGTGCGTTATCGCCAGGGCAAGGCGGTTGGATATCGCGAACGCGAGTGCTGCCCGTTTGACCCATTATTTTTGTTGACAGGCGGGAAGAAAAAAAATACAATCTCTCCTCCTTTCTTTCCCGAAAAGAGTACCAAAATAGTAGCTGCCAAAAATCTGGCGATTAATCTACGTCAGTTTGAGCGAGTAAAGTTGGAGATTTTTTTCAAATCGCCAAAAATATACAGCGAATCTCGAGAATCCCTCGATAAGAATCCATGACAGACAAATGACCTGCTGATGATACCAACTTACGATACAAAAAGGAGGAAATGCAGCAGATGGAAAGAAAAAAATCAGCACCGGATGGGGGTTGATCCCATGACCTCGGGATTTGCAGTCCTACGCTCTACCACTGAGCTACCAGTGCTGATATCGATATTCTGCATTAGAAAGATTTAATGGCTGTGCTACAAACCACTCGTTTAATTTTATCCGCACCTGTCAGCCTACTTCTATTGACTAGAAAAAAGGGTAGGAAGAAGGGGAAAGAATAGGGTAATTCAAAATTCCTCCATTCGACGACCTTCCCCGAACAAGCAAAAAGGGCCAACTGGGGATTGAACCCAGGACCTCCTGCACCCGAAGCAGGTATCATACCACTAGACGATTGGCCCATGTTTGACGAGAAAGCTAAACCTCGATATAATGCGTAAATCATTGGAACCGCCGCTCATGGGTTAAAGCAACCTTGGGCCGCTAGATTCGACGCGTGTAAACGAATCTGTGAGTTGCGAGTTTTTTAATTTCGCGGGACAGAGCATTGAACGCAAACTTATATATTTGAAACGAATGTCTTGAAAGAGCATCCACAATGGTGTTCCAGATGCCTTTCAATTCTGAAGTCGATGCGAGGATGTCGGCGAGCCCGCGTTGTTGGAGTTTAACTTTGGGTAAGTCTAATGAATGAGCTAAGGTCGACTGAGTTGCTCGAAATGAGCCTGGTAGCCCAAATAGTATCCCCCACCAAATTCATCAAGCGCGAACGTAAGAATCTGTTGGTGAGAGGTACGCCACACCCTTGCCGAGAGACCCGTCCCCCGGAGTCGCCAAGAACTGACGTGCCACCAAAAAGTAATACACTGCACCCCAACAACCAGAAGTCCAAGAATGTTGCACGCGTTTTCACGTTTGAGAGGGACTGCTGAGCTCGGAACGCTGTTCATGAAATACAAACACCACATTTACGGCAGTATGACAAGCCAGTAAGAAAAACGGAGAGGTGCTGTGCAATTGGCGTGTTTGGGACGAGGGTGTCGGTATGGGTGGTCCGCAAGGGTCTGCGCTGGAACCTGAAACGATTGGATAAGGTGGTTAATTTGGGAGTTGTGGGCTCAGTGGAATCCTTTTTCCGGGACCGGGTGGAACCAAACAGTTCCATGACGAGGTAATGAGTTTTTAATGAAACAGACGATAGATTCGTGAGAGATCTAAAAAGCATTTCATCTTTGGGCAATTTCGGGTCGGGAGCAAACACAAAATAACAAAATACATACTCAGAAAACCCCACAGTCTGGAGAATATGAGCTTCTGTCAGAATATGGCACCATACTTTATCCTCGAACAATCTCGACACATGCACACTCCTTGACAATAAACAAACGTAGCTACTTATAACCACCCACGGCAAGCACGCCCATCAATGCGTACTTTGCGAGAAGCGCTGATTCAGCCACAAGCTTTAAAATTACTGAGTAAATGGAACGGGGAGGAGGTTAGTCGGTGGATCGACTTACGGCGCGGTGCTTGAGAGCATATTGGCCGGATTCGCAGAGAAACGTTGTGGATGTGACGGTCGGATCTCGTGGAGTTGAAAGACGGATTCGCCACGGAGGTGCACGCATGATTCGTAGTTGTGTCGGCGAATCGGGTGATGCCACATATAGGGTTCTCTTATTTTATTCCAAATTTCTCAAATCTCTTTACTCACTTCCCAGCTACCCAGCTCGCCTTGACGCGGATGCAAGGTTGGTTTTTATAATATCTTGATTTGGCTTTGAGCAAAGCGCGTTTTAAAAAAAACTCGAGTCGGAAGGTTCCACAATTCAGCAAAAAGCAAATACACTGCGGCTCACACCACCTCCACCACATCAGTGAACCACACATGATCCAACACTTGCTGCGAATTCGGACGGGTCTTGGGATTCTTGGAAAGGATGAGATTCAGGAGGTCCACCACATTTGGCACACATTCGTAACGAGGTGGTTTGAAGTGCTCCGAAACGGCTTGCTTGCTAGTTGAGAAGGGAGTTTCGCCGAAGAGAATCGTGTATCTGTGCGGAAAATTGTGTGTATATATTTGTATATATATCAGAGGTGTTATAAACGTAGCTCTATCAAAAATTCAACGGAGGGAATAACTCACAACAAAATCCCACAAGCCCAAATATCCGCCGGTTTGGTCCTGTACCGAAACCCCGACAACACCTCCGGCGGCGCATACTGCACGGTGCCTTGGAACTGATCGCGATACACATACTTGCCTTCATCCACCTTCTCATCTTCCATGACTGCCGACCCAAAATCCACAATCTTCACACGAAAAGCGTCGCCAATCACAATATTCTCGTTCTTCAAGTCGCAGTGAGAGATCTTGAGAGAGTGCAGGTGGTGCACGGCTTGCATGATTTGCTTGAACACGTGGCGCGCAAGGTTGTTGTCGAAACGCATGTGCTTAATGCAGTCCAAGAGGTCTGTGCTTTGGAATTGGTTCTTGGGATAGAAGGTTGGATTCGTGAGGGCACGCAGCATGCCGGAGAAGTGGAATTCGCGTGGGCCTTTGTTCTGTCTGCAGGAGACGGGGGAGTTGGCTTTCGTGTGGTGGCTCGAGAGGGTGCGGGTGGGTGGAATGACGTTGACGCTTCCGGATTTGGAGCGGATCGAGTTGGAGAGGGTCGAAACTTGGGGAATATGCGCGGGTTTGTTTGTCTTCGTGAACTGAGGTGTCGTAGAATCCGGAGCATCGTTTTGCCAGGTGGTACCAAAGTGCTCCATGACGAGGTAGCAGAACTTGTGGTCTTCAAAATACTCGATGAAGGAGACGATGGATTCATTGGAGATCTGGATTGGGGAATGGGCGATTCAGGAATTTTTTTTTTGTGGGTTCAATTCAAACTCACACTCTTGAGAATATACACCTCCATGGGAATGCGACCCCACACGTCGTCTTCGAACCACTTCGTGACACGATGCTTCATGATAAACTTGACGGCCACTTCCTTCTTGTCCGCCTTACGTCTTGCGGCACACACAAAGCCAAAGCCCCCAACACCCAGCTCTGCAATCATTTCGTACTTGGAGAGAAACAGCTGGTTGAAGATGGGGTTCTTGGTGTGGAATGCGTGGATGGCGGGATCGGTGGGTGGTGGATCAAGGCTGTCTAGCGAGTCCGAGGTGGCGGCTTGTGGTGGCTTGGTGGGACCAGCGGTGGCGCAGCTTTGTTCGGACTTTCTGGCGGTGAAACACGGCGGCGGCGTCGGCTGCACTTTTGCGACGGGAAGTGGCGTCACGGACAAAGCGGCGCCGATGATTCGCGAAACAAGGCGTGGTGATGGCGTCATTTCGAGTCCCGTTTTCATTTGCGTTTTGCCGCGCCAAAAGTTGCAAAACTGCGGGGCGATCCGATCGATGCAACCGCTGATCAGGAACATGAGCAACAAAATAAATTATGACTTGAATTAGGGCCCGGTCGGGCAGAGTTTCAAAAACGTCTGGGGAGGTGATATATTGTCTCTTCAAAGACTAGAGCAAAGATCGTTAAAAAAACAAGAGTCGGTCGGATCCACAAAGCGAAAAGCAAATATACCGCCCGACTGATTAGAACGAGAAAAAAAAAGGGGGGGGGGGGGGGGGGGGGGATCACGCCACCTCCTACACATCAGCGAACCACACATGGTCCAACACTTGCTGCGAATTCGGACGGTTCTTGGGATCCTTGGAAAGCATCAGACTCATGAGGTCCACGACGTCGGACACGCATTCGTAACGCGGCGGTTTGAAGTGACCCGAGACGACTTGGTTGCTAGTTGTGAAGGGGGTTTCACCGCAGAGAATCGTGTATCTGTACGGAATATGTGTTGTGTGTGTTGTGTGTGTGAAGAGTGTTATAAACGAGATAAACGAAAAAACACATAAAAATACTCACAACAAAATCCCACACGCCCAAATATCTGCCGGCTTGGTCCTGTACCGAAACCCCGACAATACCTCCGGCGGCGCAAACTGCACGGTGCCTTGGAACCGATCGCGATACACAAACTTGCCTTCCTCGACCTTTTCATCTTCCACGACCGCCGACCCAAAATCCACTAGCTTCACACGAAACGTATCATCAATCACGATATTCTCGTCCTTCAAGTCGCGGTGAGAGATGTTAAGTGAGTGCAAGTGATGCACGGCTTGCATGATTTGTTTGAACACGTGGCGCGCGAGGGTGTTGTCGAAACGCGTGTGTTCGATGCAGTCAAAGAGGTCCGTGCTTTGGAATGGGTTCGTGGGACGGAGGTTTGGGTTCGTGAGGGCACGCACCATGTCGGAGAGGTGGAATTCGCGTGGGTCTTTGTTTTGTGTGAGGGAGACAGGGGTGTTGGCATTTGTGTGGTGGTTCGAGAGGGTGCGGGTGGGGGTGTTGCGACCGTTGCCGGATTTGGAGCGGGTCGAGTCGGAGAGAGTCGAAACATGGGGGATAAGCGAGGAATTGGTGGTCTTGGTGGACTGGGCGGTGGCAGAATCTGTTTGCCAGGTGGTACCAAAGAGTTCCATGACGAGGTAGCAGAACTTGGGATCTTCAAAGTAATCAATGAAGGAGACGATCGATTCGTTGGAGATCTGAATTGGGGAATGGGCGATTCAGGAACTGATTTTTTTGGGTGGGTTCCAAACAAACACTCACACTCTTGAGAATATACACCTCCATCGGAATACGGCCCCACACGTCATCCTCAAACCACTTCGTGACACGATGCTTCAAGATAAACTTGACAGCCACATCCTTCTTGTCCTCCTTGCGCCTCGCGGCACACACAAAGCCAAAGCCGCCAACGCCCAGTTCGGCAACCATTTCGTACTTGGAGAGAAACAACTGGTTGAAGACTGGGTTCTTGGAGCGGAATGCGTGGATGAAGGGGTCAGTGGGTGGAGGAGCCAACGTGTCTGGCGAGTCCGAGGTGGCGGCTTGTGGTGGCTTGGTGGGACCAGCGGTGGCGCGAAGCTGTTCGGATTTTTTGGCGGCGAAGCGCGGCGGCGGCGTCGGCGGCAGTTTTGGCGTTGTGGGGAAAAGCGGCGCCACGGACGAAGTGGCGCCGAGGAGGCGCTGAATGAGGCGCGGCGAGGGCGTCATTTTGCGCCTTTCTCGAATTTGTTTTTCATCTTGGATTCGCGGCGCCAACAGATGCCAAACAGCGGGACAATCCAATCAATCCAATGCTACTTTCAGCTCGAAAGCTGCTTTGATTAAAAAACGTCCCTTGGTGACTCAAACTGACGGTGTGTTTGCATCCCGCACTGGATGAATGCATTATCAAGTGAAGGGTTGATACTTTTGTTTTCATATAACATACCAAGAACATGCGAGCAACTGCCTAATTATGGCTTGCATTTTTTAGTGTTGGGACTCTTG